AGAGGCATACTATTTCATTTCCATACAAACTTTTGCACCAAGTTGTGGATTGCAAACTGTGTGAAGTACTGGAGCTACTCCTGCTTTGTTATTTCTTTTTGAATTCGCCTAGAAAATAAATAAAATTGGTAATTATCAAAAACATAAACAAATTGCAAAAATATTTACTTTTCCTGTTGTTCTTTTGTATTTATTTTATTTACGAAGCAGCTGTTAGACAGTAAAATGCTTTTCACCTCGTGTGGTGAATTTGTTGAGCTTTTTTCTTATGAGGTGTGGGCAAGAATAACCTCACAAAATAGACCTCACAAGAAATCTCACAAATTTTTGCTCACAACTCAGTTGTGAGGTTTTATTAGAATAGGGCTGTATTATATATCTGCACTCCATGAACGAAAGACACAAGATCACGTAAGAACAAGAGAGTGAAAAAAGTCGATTTTTTTAGCGGGTTCTACGCCATCTTGTTTCACTGGAAAACGAGCGAAAAGTAAACAAAGCAAAGAAAACAACGGAATCCAAAATTAGCCAAAACTATTGTCAGCCACTTTAAACGCACAATTTAGGTAAAATGATGCAACAAAATGCTTTAAAATTTGTTTTCATGTTGAATTAACTCTTCTTTACTTGAATAAAAGTGTAAAATAGTGGTGCTTGTGATGTAAACAAACGCTCAGCTAACGAACCCGCTTTCGTAAACTTTTTTCTCAAAACCAGTTACAAATACAACGTCGCGTTCTTACGTAATCTTGTATTTTTGGTTCATGTCTGCACTCTAATGTTGGCGGCAGTGATCGGACTTCAAAAAAAAATTTGTGTGATAGAATCTGGAAAAAAATGTGGTAGATTTCAAAAAAATCTGGTAGATCTCAGATTTTAGATCAAACTTTGTACAAAAATTAAAAAAATTCTGCACGGTTTCACCCAAATCGCAAACATTTTAATAAGAATATCAAAAAATAATAATTTTAGTATAATAAAGTGCAAAATCGAATTAGCAACTTGCGTTGAGTTTTGGAAAATTTTTTCCTTGACATTATAAAGCAGCATATCAAGATATTTTTCAAACATATTTTGAAAGATTTCTGCAACCTTGCGGAGTGCTACCAGCTTTTCTTGTTATCATATCACGATGTAGCGAACAAATATGGCACGTTCCAGAAACCGCTACTTGAGATTTGCCGATTTTGATAATTCTCAAGTAAAAGTAAACAACGCTCTAGAAACTTTATATGCAATGAAATTTGCTAATACTTTCACAAAAATCACCATTTTTTAACATTTTCGTTATTAATTCTTTTTATAAATCATATATTTTGCAATTTAAAACAATAAAACCACGCTTCCTGCCGAAAAATTTAATATTGAAAGTATTTAATATTTTACAGTTTATTTTATCCTCCCATTCTGCTTGTTGTTAGTGTTTAGTGTTGGACAATTGTCGAGTATAACTAAAACTACTCAAAAACACGAATATGTGGTAGATTTCAGACCTTATGTGGTAGATGTGGTAGATGCTCAAAAAAGTGGCAGATCTACCACAATGTGGTACAAGTCCGATCACTGCTCACTTAGGGCCGTTTGCACCATGTCTAGTTAACGCTAACTGGAGGTACATCCTTCAGTTAAGCACGTCAACTGCTTTATCGAGCACATGTTATATGATGGGTGTCGATAACGTCGATAAAGATGTTTAACTGGGAGTTAGAATTAACTAGACATGGTGCAAACGGCCCTTAATGGGCGATATGAATAAAAACCAAGCAATTGCTTTTTCGTAAAATTTCTTACACTTTACTTCTATTTTGTTTGAATAAATAATGTTTAAATAAACCAAACAAAAAAATAAATTGCTTATTTTTATTCATACGGCCCAATATAAAATTGAGGGGCTACCACTTTTAGGGCCGGTTACTCAATGTCTGGTTAACACTAATCTGCGGTTAAACATCGTTATCGACGTTACCGACTCCCTGTTATATGCATGGAGTCGAAGACGTCGATAACGATGTTTAACCGCAGATTAGTGTTAACCAGACATTGAGTAACCGGCCCTAAGACTGCTTTTACACAGTTCAAGTATTGAATTCATTCTGCTCGCATGTGGAAGAGAGGGGGTGAGAGGAAAAGGGACGAGTACACATGCGTCTGTACCGTCAAGTCGTTTCAATTTTCTTGCTTTGCTTTTGGCATTTTCTTTGCTTCCCATTTAAAGAACCAAAAACTTGAATTCAACAGAATTGAAACGTGTAAAAGCAAATAGAAAACACAAAAGGGAATGAGCAAGAATTGCTTTCAAGTACTTGAATCATGTAAATCGGGTGTTATGCAGCGTTGTTGCTGAATTTAGGGCCGGTTGTTCAATGTCTGATTAGCACAAATCGGAGGTAGAAGCTCCGGTTAGATACAACGACTGCTTTATCGATCACATGTTATACGCATGATGTCGAAATCGTCGATAATGATGTTTAACCGGCATGATGATGTTCCGATAGGAACTAGATACGCACCCGTCCAAAATCGACGAAAAGTGGTACTTTTAAGAAACTATGTCCCCTTTCAGACACGTCAAGTCTTGAAAGCAATTTTTTTCGTATTCTCTTTTGTGTTTTCTATTTGATTCCACACGCGTCAACTTTAATTGAATTCAAGTCCTTGGTTCTTAAATGGGAAGCAAAGAAAAGGTCAAAAGAGACAAGAAAACTTGAAACGAATTGACGGTACGGAGGAGTCTGTACTCTTCTCCTCTCTTCCCACATCCTTAGCGAACGAACGAGCAGACTTGAAAGCAAGACTTGACGTGTCTGAAAGGGGACTTAGCAAATGTACATTTACGCGAGTTCGAAATCGTATGCAGCCGTGTTCCTGTGGCTTATTCAGATCCGTATCTATTACGATCAATTCTCACGCAGAAGATATTATGCAAAAAACCCTACTGAAAAGGAAAAAATAAGTTTTAAACCAAAAATTCAATACAAAAACTTGAATTGTTTTAACCATAACCGAACATATGTTTGTGTATATATTCATTTGTCGGTGGTGTCAATTAAAATTTCCTCACTTAATTAAGAAACAAAACAAACAGAGTTGATCTCAAATTGATCCAGATTTCTATCAGCATCACATCGATGTTGAATTTGCGTAACTTTTCTTTATCTAAATAATGTAAAATAATAAATGAAATCCCGATCGGCGATCACTGAAACGCAGCTAGCCACTATATACGCGAAAAAGCAATGTTGCCACTTTTTCTCAATAAAACCATGTTCGAATCGTGGAAATTTTGGAATGTCACAGGGTTGCTTTTAGCATTTAGATTCTTAAGGCCGGTTACTCAATGTCTGGTTAACACTAATCTCCGGTTAAACATAGTTATCGACGTTACCGACTCCCTGTTATATGCATGGAGTCGAAGTCGTCGATAACGATGTTTAACCGCAGGCCGGTCGTGGGTTCGAGTCCCACGGTCAGTAGAATTTTCATTTATTTCGTTTTCATTCTTTTTCTATAAGTTCTACATATTTTTTACGTTGCTTTCAGTTACCCTGCAAAAATCGTTGGACCATGTAGTCTATTTGTGGTATATTGGAGTACTCACAAAAGTGTTCCTCTGTCATGCTGTAGCGGACGAACTCGTGTCTCTGCACCAGCTTATTGTTACCCGATCACTTTGTTAATTTCAAAAAAAAGCATCTGTGAAGTGAAGAACAAAAGCGTGTATAAAGGAAAAAATATAACAACATTGTCATTGGAGTATGTTGGAGTAGTTTTGTGCTACTCTGATGTAATGCAGAGATGAAGTATATGGCCTAGGACATCGCAATGTTAATTGGACCATATTTTTTATATGAATTGTGGTTAATTTTGGGTACTCCTTGGTCCTTCGGGAGTACTCTTTACATGCAAGCATGGAGTAGTCGCAATTTTTGCAGGGTAGTTGTTGTTGACTTTTTAATAAAATTCTACTCTAAAAATTTAAATTAACTAAAAGTAAAATAAAAAATGTGATAGCAAATGAAAATAAAATAAAGTGAAATTAAATATATAAATCAAAATAAATAATAAAAACAAAAAAGAATTTCGCGATCCCTCCAACCGATTGAACCTGGCGGCTACGGGCTTGTAGCCCGCAACTCTGACCACTCGGCTATCGCCGAAGAGAAACTCGCCAGCTTTGTTTGCTTACTTGTACTTGTTGGCCGTTTTTACCAGTGTTGTCATCGAAAATTTCCCGGTTACGAGTTAATTCCCAAAAATTTCGTGCATTTGTTCGGCTGCTTATGCGCATTTTAAAGAGGAAAATGCATTAATCAAAGTAAATAAAGGCTGTTTAAGCAAATAATCGAGCCCGTTTGTCAACTGTATAAATTGAATAATAACTTATTTGAATTAATACGAGGTATATGTTTATGCTCGATTTATATTTTCTTTGTGTTCTACGCTCCCTGAGCAAACAAATACGCAAACAAAGCAGCCAGCTATTTCATCCGCGGTAGCCGTGTGGTGAGGGCTGAGTACTACAAGACTGCAGGTCCCAGTGTCAAAATTCATTTGAATAAGCAAACAATATTGCGCGATCGCAGCAATCTGATATAATTACCGGACTCTGCGTAAGTAGTATGCAAACAACTGTTTTCTCTTTTGCTATTTCAAAGTATAATTTTTGTTGGCAACCCCAAAAATATAGACTTCTAAGCTCATATGTTTGTAGAATAAGTATCGGCTATTTGTATCCCGTTTCGTAGCTTACGGCGTATTATTTCTTTTCTATGCCATCTGTCTACTAATAAGCACGTTGTAGCGTAATACGCGGTAAGACTATTTAAATTTGTATAATTGTATGTATATTTCTAAAACCTAATTTGTATTGTATTTGTATTATCTTGTAAATAAAGATTAAGCTACGGCTTCACTCATCATAACAGTGGCGACGAGAAAAAATAAGCTCTTTTTATCTAATACGCGCAACATCCAGAATGGCTACGTTGGAACAGGTCGTTGCGACTCTTTTGGCAAGGCAGCAGGAAACCGCCGAGCAAGCAAAGCAGCTTTTGGAGCGTCTAATCCCGGCGACAACAATCAACCCGACAGGGAAAAATGACCGTAGCTCGGCGACAAACAGCACAACGGAAGGTTCGGAAACCCCAATGGAGACGCTTGCAAAGAGTATACGGGAGTTTATTTATGACCCTGAGGAAGGTCAAACTTTCGCTAAGTGGTATGCACGGTATGAAGACCATTTTGGTGTGGAGCGACGTCATTGGACGATGCTGCAAAAGTTCGATTGCTTTTACGGAAGGTATGCACGCATGTGTTCGATAAATATCGAGACTACATTGCTCAGCCGCGTGACATAAGTTTTAAAGATACCATTGCAACATTCAATAAATTACTTGGTAAAGCTTAGTATCCAGCTCTTAAGAAAAGCAAAAACTCTATATAAAATGACGTACAAGAAATGGCTAAGAAATTCTCTTGAGTCAAATTTCCTTAAGGCAGTACACAGTTCTTCAGAAATTTAGTACGCTTTCTACTACGGTTTTCTAAAGTTTTTTGTGAAAAAAGAGCACAAGGCAACCCAGGTTTGCAACAGAAATATATGCCCGTTCCATTATTTCTTGAGGAAAGAGTGAGGCAACAGGCTGTGAGGTATAAAAAATGTCAAAATTCCTTGGACACACACGCGAAATAATGGCAATTTTTTCTTGACCGTTTTCTTAAGAGCTGGATACTAAGCTTAAGAAAGAATCGCAATTTAGCATAAGGGTAAAATGCTTACAGAATGTACGCTTTGAAGAAGACATTGTAACGTACGCAGCTCGTGTTAATAAATTGTGCGAAAATTTTTCACTTCGAGAATGCACAGTTGATAATTTCAAGTGCCTCATGTTCGTTCATGGTATTCAATCGGTACGTGACGAAGAACTTCGCGCGAGACCACAATATAACCTGTAAACAACCTTCGGTGAATTTGGCGACTGCCTTCCTCGGGGATGAATATGCTAGGGATAAAATTATTGGTACACACGCCTTCCAAGCACGCAGGGTTGCTTTTAAGAAACAAAAAATAATTAACTCCAAATAGTTTCAAAAAGTATAGTGTAAAACGAAAGTTATTGAATAATTCCACATAAAATGGTATACATAAATGACGCATTTTCTAAACGATTTAAATTAAACGCATTTCCGAATTGATAGCAAAGTACTACGGATTGTAAATTTTTGTTAACTATGAGGTGAATGAAAATTTTCAACCCGGCCTGGTGGTTTGATTTTATTACTAAGGCGTCTAATAAATTCATGGCTTTTAGTTCTAGAAGAATAAATGTCAGTAAAGACAAGTCTTTTTTGTATAATTTCTGATTTTAATTGCTCAACTTCTTTTGAACCAGAGCAACTGTCAAAAATTCCCAACAGTAAAAAGTTACGAATTGGCACAGCAGAAATGTAAAATTTTCTCGCCATAATAAAAAGTTTTTTTCAACATGGAATCTTTCTACTAATTGACATGAAATTACTATCTCAACGCTCGGAGCGCTGCCACTGAGGGCCTTTGCCAACTGATTAAAAAGAGAAAATTTGGAAAGACCAAACAAAAATTGTGAGATTTCTCGTTGTGAATACGAATGCCATAGTTTTTACCTAGCTCGTGGGACTACGCAAAATTTTGACAGCTTGTAAGTATGTATACTCATAAAGTTGTTGGCGGTAATAAGGAGTCAAAATTAAAATGGAGAAAAGAACAAAAAGCGTAGGTTAGTTGTCAGTTATAAAATAAATCCAATTTATTTGCGAATATTTGTTTATTCTTTTTATTGAAAGGCAACCGCTCGGAAAAGCTTGTGTTAATTATATTGATAACAGAACCTGGCAGCTCGCACGTTGTCTAAATTCTTAAGTAACATAAAGTCCACAAAAGAATAAGTACGCCATGTATAAATTTTAACAATACACAAAAATAGAGCTTTCGCACGAGCGTTTGTTTGGTTTTTCCACACCATTTATAATTTTCTTTTAATAAAATCACGATTTGACCAATACTTAAATTTATTTATCTAATAATAATACAGCACACAACCCTGAAATCTAAGAAAAAGTCTGAGGAAGGCCATTAAATAGCAGCACACAACCCCGTGCCTTCCTCAGGAGTGAATACAACTACAACAACAACGACTACTACAACAACAACTCAAAAAGGTTGGTTACTGTCTATACTGTGCGCCAGACTTCTAAGTATGCTCGAATCCGAAACTAATGACAGACAATTAACGATAGATATTTTGGTAGCGGATGTACAGCGGATGAAAGATTTGAGAAATGATGCGCTCGTACGTTAAAATCAAATCAAAGTACAAAAGATGCAAAATCCGCCACAAAATCTGCTACAAAATCAATGCCGAGCAGGCCTTGCTGGCAATGCGGGAATATGCATTTCGTTTGCGAATGTAATTTTACTAGCCATAAATGTATGCAATGCGGCAAAATAGGACATAAAGAGGAGTATTGTGCATGTTTTTCGAAATAGAAACCTATTTCAAAATTGAATGAATTAAAGAGTAAAAAGAGTAGTAAAACGCGAAAATTTGTTAAAAGCGTAGTTACAACGTGTAATAAAATTGCTCGAAAATAAAATTGCTTCGTGACCATTGAAATCCAAAACGTCCATCTTAAACTCCAGCACGATACCGGTTCGGATATGGCGATCATTTCAACACGAAATTGGGAAAAGATCGGCAGTCCTCCATTACGTTTATGTCAAGGGTCAATGCGCGACGCTTCAGGGAATCACATCCGAATTAGTGGTGAATTTGATGCAGACGTCGAAATAAGCAGAAAGAGAAAGCAAGCAACAATAACAGTTTGTCCTGTCCTAAATTTACTAGGTACAGATGTTATATCACTTTTCGACTTATGGGGAGCACCCATTTCGGAATACACAGCCTGCAGGAACATCCAAGCTAGCAGTAAATTGACACGCCCAAATTTACTTAAGATGTTCCCAAGTGTTTTAGAGATGAAATTGGTCACTGTACAGCGTATAAAGTTCACCTGCAACTTAAACCGCAAGCATTTCCCATGTTTCGACCGAAAAGACCAATAGCATATGCAGCACGATGTCAAGTTGAAAGCGAACTGAAACGATTAGAAAGCGAGGGTATTATTACGCCAATAAATTTTTCTAAATGGGCTGCCCCAATCGTGGTTGTAAGAAAAGCTTCAGGCGAGGTGCGGTTATGTGGCGATTACTCTACGGGCCTTAACGAACAGCTGGAGAATCACACTTTTCCACTGCCACTTCCAGACGAAATATTTAGGGCCGGTTGTTCAATGTCTGATTAGCACAAATCGGAGATAGAAGCTCCGGTTAAGCACAACTACTGCTTTATCGATCACATGTTACATGCATGATGTCGAAATCGTCGATAGTGTAGTGGTAGTGATAACCAGACATTGAACAACCGGGCCTTAATGGGTGCGCATATTTTTCTATCGTAGACCTTAACAATGCCTACATACAAATGGAAGTGGATGAGGAAACAAAAAAACTTTTAGTAGTCAATACTCATCGTGGAGTTAAATCGGCACCCGGAGCATTTCAGCAAGTCATGGAGTCACTACTTACGGGGATTCCTGGTGTATTACCGTATCTCGGCGACGTTGTTATTGCGTAATTGAACTATTCAACCGCTTCAAATTACGTAACCTCACTGTAAACTTCAGCAAATGTAAATTTTTTCAAAAATCGTGTACCTATCTGGGCTACCACATTGACGGCAACGGTATCAGTCCAGATAAGAACAAAATCAACAAAATTTTAGAACTACCACCACCAAAAGATTTGAGCGAACATCGAACGATTTTAGGCGCAGTAAATTACTACGGTAAGTTCATTCGAGAAACGTGTATTCTAAGAAATCCTTTGGATGCTTTGCTAAAAACCAATACAAAATGGAATTGGACATTACAATGTCAGAAACACTTCAATAAATTTAAAGAACTTTTGTAATCGGATCTGTTATTAACGCACTATAACCCTAGTTTGCCAATTAAAGTAGCTGCCGACGCCTCTACTGTTGGCCTAGGTGCATATATTTGCCATATATACCCTGATGGGAGTGAAAAGGCTATAGCACATGCTTCGAGAGCTCTTAGGCTGAGAAGAATTATTCTCAAATTAAGAAGGCTTGGCTCTAGTGTTCGCAGTAGTAAAATTTCATAAATACTTGTACGGTAGAGAATTCTATCTACATACCGACCATAAAGCATTGCTTGCCATCTTTGGTAATAAGAAGGGGATTCCTGCACACTCTGCAAACTGCCTTCAGCGATGGGCTTTAACGTTAATGTCGTACGATTTTATATTGGAATATGTACCAACGAAAGAATTTGGAGCTGCGGATGTACTGTCATGACTTATTAGGAATACATCTAAGCCTAACGAAGACGCAGTCATCGCTTGCTGCCAACTTGAACAGGAAGTGAAGCAAATTGCTTCCAACGCCGTACAAAGTTTTCCGCTAACGCTTCCGATGATTCAAAAGGCCACGCAGAAAGAAGCGCTATTACAGCAGGTTGTTAAGCTCCTCAAAAATGGTAAGTGGCCAAATACGATGGATGAAGACCTACGTAGTTTCTACATACATCGCGACGAGCTAAGCACGATTGAAGGCTGTAATATGTGGAAAGATCGGTTGGTTATACCCAAGTGTTATCGCCGAAGAATTCTGAAAAGCTTATACAGGGGCCATCAATTGAATTGAGCGAACAAAAGCCCTGGCACGCAGCTACGTATATTGGCCGGGAATTGACGAAGACATCAAGCAATATATTGTAGGATGTGATCGCTGTGGCCAAGACATTACCAAAGACAAACCTTCTGGCCAGAAGCAGATCACCCGATGCAAAGAATACATATTGACATCGCGGATCCAGTGAATCAACTTTACTATTTTGTAATCATCGATGCGTACTCGAAATGGCCACAGATTTAAGTTAAGTCGATAACGTCCACTAGTATTTTAGACTGCATGTCGGACTTCACGTCACAGTTTGGAGACCCTGAATTAGTAGTCAGGGACAATGGCACACAATTTGCAAGTAAGACTTTTTCGAATTTTTGCGTAAGCCGAGGTATTTCTCACAAGTTCACAGCACCGTATCATCCGCAGTCCAACGGGCAATCGGAACGCTCGTGGATACCCTGAAAAGGGCACTGAAGAAATTGGATGGTGAAGGAACGCAGAAGCAAATTTTACAAACATTTCTGAGAACCAAAGGGCCAAAGAACGAGTTTACAAAATTGACGATTGTGTATATGCAAAACTTTATAAGCTGACCAAATCTTATTGGGCGCCCGGAGCAATCGCAAAAGTTCTCGGTAAGGTCAATTACCAAGTTGAAATCGAAAACTCAACAACCTTTAGAGCTGTAAAATCGCACTCCAATCAATACACACTCAATGCCAGCCGTTAGACATTTTATTTGATTACTTTGACCTGTCATATAAACCAGCATCAACAATTAGCAGTTCAGACACTCGCACTGAAGAGCAACATCAAAACGTCGCACAGGAATAGACTCCGAGGAATTTGTTTGAACATCAATCCTGTACGAACGCTGAAAGTCCTCCAAACCCACCAGTTCAAACACCCAGCATCGAGCCGACAACCGACTCTCATAATCCAATCCCAGAACCGTCGGTAGTTCCTCAAGAGCTGAGACGTTCATCGAGACGCAAGAGAACTCCGGCCTGGGCTCCCGATTACCATCTTTTTAAAAGGAAGAAGGATGTTGGCAACCCCAAAAATGTAGACTTCTATGCTCATATGTTTGTAGAATAAGTATCCGCTATTTGTATCCCGTTTCGTAGCTTACGGCGTATTACTTCTTTTCTATTCCGTATGTCTACTAATAAGCACGTTGCAGCGTAATACGCGGTAAGACTTTATTTAAATTTGTATAATTGTATGTATATTTCTAAAACCTAATTTGTATTGTATTTGTATTATCTTGTAAATAAAGATTAAGCTACGGCTTCACTCATCATAACAATTTTATATTTTACAGCTCTCTTGCACTTCTCTAGATTTTGGGTGACTTGCAGCCTTATGTACGCAAAAGTTCCAGTCCTGGGAGCAAAGCGAATGGATCAACATCGCTTTGGGAAGGAGCACCGTACCATTGTTGACGTTACCGACACAATGTCGTGCGCGTGGAGTCGGTGATGTACTAGGTAACGATTAACTGGGGATGAAGTATCGAGATGGTGATCGCCAATCGTGGTTATTGGACGATGCCGGGTATGCTCTGGAACCTTTTCTGTTGACACCGTATATAAATCCGTAGCCACGGTCTATACAACACGCATTTAATCGAACACATTCTTCCGCACGTAATATTAGAGTTCTCAAAAGTCGTTTTCAGTGTTTATTAGTAACCTTGCTGTACAAACTATGAGAGGTTGTGAAAATAATTAATAAATGACTGACTGAATTTGACTATGAAGAAGTTGAAGAAAACGATAGAGAAGTATGTAGATTGTGAAGTAGAATTATTTGCACCAACATAAATTTATTTGAAAAGTGAAGCACAAATAATTGGATACGAAATTGCGAATAAAATTACCCCTATTTAATTAAGTTCCTTAGGGTATAGTCGTTGCGCTGGATATGCAGTTACAGTTGCATGGCTATACTCAATCCCGACTCTTGCGTCCTCGTTCGCGCACTCTGGGCATCGTGAGCAACCCATGTGCGAGATGCGGTAACCAATCCGAGTGGAGCCTTGGGTCACGGCAGAGAGAGGGAGCTTCGGTGGGGCCACTCCGACTTATTCGGTTTAAGGGCTTACTGAAGTCTGCAGCGTCTGTTCACCAGTAGGTGCGGCTGCAAGCGGGTGTCTTGATTGGAGCAAGTGGCTCGCTATATAAACGTGTATTTGGTTGCGAAACCACCCCGATCCCAGCAATGGGTTGTACGCTGGGCTTGGGACCCGCCACGTAAAAACCACTTCCAGTGAAGACGCAAGGCAAAGCCTCAGCCTCCACGACGAAGCGCCCGACAACGGGTTGAGGCCGATCGACTTCGCCGGGGCCCGAAACGAGAAACCAAATCGATCATGTTGATAGACGGAACGCACGCTTCCACTGTTTTAGACGTACGCACACTACCGAGGCCCAAACATCGACTCGGACCACTATCTTGTTGCAGCCAAGATACGCACCCGCCTCTGTGCAGCAAAAAAAGTGCGCCGAAATATGCAAGGAAAGCTTATCGTCGAAAAGCTGCAATAACAAAAGACAGCGCTTTCACTACTCGACTCTCACACCTGCTCTCAGAGTGCACTCTTCAACAAACCGACATATGCGAGCAGTGGAACCACATTTCCCGCTCATTAAGTACCGCCGCCGAAGTAGTCGGATTTCAGCGAGCCCGAATGAACAACTGGTACGATGAGGAGTGTAAAGAGCGAAATACACCACACAAGCGGCTTGTCAAACATTCTTCAAACCTACTTTTCCCATTTCGCCATACACCATGCAAACATGACTCGTTCAAGCAAAGAATTTTAGTTTTCTTCCAGTTCGCAATGCTAAATATTGTGGTTTTCTTTCATTTTCCTCTCTTACGTCCTTACTCGGTGAAAATTTCGTTGCGAATGAGGCGATTTTGCTATACACAACGCAAGCGGTTTGATCAAACATCAACATGGCGGCCAGAAAATCAAAAAATTTTGATTTTTGCTCAAATTTCCCTCAAGCGGTTTGTCAAACCTTCAAACACCCCCATACACAGCACAAATGGCTTGAAGCAAAGGGAAATTTCGCTTGGTTTGTCAAACCGCTTGTGTGGTGTATTTCGCTCTTAAGGAAGCTGCAGAGAAAAAAGATGCCGCCTACAGGGCCACGCTGCGATCGGGCGCAACGCGCGCTATGTGGGACCGCTATAGGGATCTGAAGAGGGAAGCGAGACGTATTTGCCGCATCATGAAGAGATGCAGAAATACGTGAGTGCGAAGAGCTTGAAATGCGGCCGACAGGAGGAATGCCCGAAAATTTTACCAGAGAGTTAGGCGACTTACGGAAGGTTTAAAGACCGGGGCGCACTCCTGTAAGAACAATAATGGCGACCTTGTAACTGATGTCCAGAGCGTACTTAAATTATGGAGGGAACACTTTTCCGCCCTACTAAATGGTATCAGCACGCAAAGTTGTGGAGAAGAAGAACCCGAGCCCGCAGTCGATGATGACGGAGTCGACGTTCCACCGCCTGACTATGACGAGGTACGTATAGCAATAATGCGGCTGAAAAACAACAAAGCCGCTGCAGCTGACAGCCTGCCTGCTGAGCTATTCAAGTACGGCGGCGAGAAGTTGATAAGATGCATGCATCAGCTCTTGTGCAGAATATGGTCAGATGAACGCATGCCCGACGACTGGAATTTAAGTGTGCCTTGCCCAATCCACAAGAAAGGTGACCCCACCATTCGCGCCAACTACCGCGGGATCAGCCTTCTAAGCATAGGTTACAAGGTTTTATCGAGTGTGTTGTGTGAAAGACTGAAGCCCACCGTCAATGAACTGATTGGGCCTTATCAGTGTGGCTTTAGACCTGGCAAATCCACCATAGACCAGGTATTCACAATATGCCAAATCTTGGAAGCAACTCGCGAAAAAAGGATCGACACTTACCACCAATTTGTCGACTTTAAAGCCGCTTTTGACAGCACTAAAAGGAGTTGCCTATACGCCGCTGTCTGAATTTGGCATCCCCTCAAAACTCATACGGCTGTGTAAAATGACGTTGAGCAATACCACCAGCTCCGTCAGAATTGGGAAAGACCACTCCGAGCCGTTCGCCACAAAACGGGGTTTCAGATAGGTCGACTCCCTTTCATGTGACTTCTTTAATATGATGTTGGAGAAGATAATAAGAGCTGCAGAACTGAACCGCTCAGGAACAATTTACTACAAGAGCGTGCAATTGCTGACTTATGCCGATGACATCGACATCATCGGTAACAAAAACCGCAAAGTCTGTTCTGCCTTTTCCAAGTTGGATTGGGAAGCAAAGCGAATGCGAATGGGTCTGGTGGTAAACTAGGACAAGACGAAGTATCTCCTGTCATCAAACAAACAGTCAGTACATTCGCGTTTGGCACCCACGTCACTGTTGACAGTTACAATTTCGAGAAAATAGCGGGGTTAGGTCGCCGAAACAACAGCCCTTGGTCGGGTAAAACCCGAGTCATTCCGGTACGTAGAACTGGCTGTCGTGGGAATGGGAATGCTGCGCCAGTTTGGACGCCGTGGACTAGTTGGACGCAGTGGACGAAGCTACAGACTTGTCAGAACGCCGCATTCCGGACAGCGACTGGGTGCCTTCTGATGACGCCTGAGCACCACCTGCACAGCGAGGCCCAAGTGCTCCCCGTTAGGGAACACAACAAAATGCTCTGTAAGCAATTTCTGGTGGGGTGTCACAGAAGTGAACACCCTAACAGACCGTTGCTTCAGGAGGAGCCTCCGCCCAGGCACGTCAGGGGGCACCTATTCGTGAACAAGGACGCAGTGCAACAGTACGTAGACCAACCATTGGACCCGACGGGTCTACGTAACCGGAACGACCCAGATTTATATCTGGCCAAGGACTGTCACTCCAGCAACACTCCCCAAAAAGTCTTTGGGGAATTTGTATGCTGCTACAACAACAACAACGACATACAGACGAGCCATCAACGATATTCATAGAGAGTCAGTTACTACCTACCTCGACTCTCGACCTATGAATGCCGTAATACGAGCCCAATCACCACCTGTAGAAGAGATGGGGCTTCAACTGCCACGAGAGACCCGCGTTACCCTGGCTCAATTACGGTCTGGATACTGTAGCCGCCTTAACAGCTTCTTGTCCAGACTCGACCCCAATATCCCCAATGAGTGCCCGGAATGTGGAGAGTCCCCCCACGACACCAACCACCTCTTTACATGCCAGCTCAATCCGACTCATCCGAGTATTCAACTCGGAACCCGCGATGGAAAGATCAGGTGGAGAAGGACTTGTCTTCACTTGGCGATTCCAATTGGCGTCAGTTGGCACAGAGGAGAAACGACTGGCGTGCTTTGCTGAACTCGGCCAAAATCGCTTGGGCGGTTACAGCGCCAAAAAATAAGATTTAGTTAAAACGATTTTGTAATTAAACAATAAATTTACGCTAAAAAATAACATTTTAAGACTTTTTACTATTTTCAAATTCGAAACGCTCTAGCTCCAACTCAAGCTGTCGCAGTTTAATTTGTTTTTTATTTTTTTTTTCATTATAACGATTGCCAATTTTAATTCGTTTACTTACATTTTTCGTTGTTCGCTAAAGTTTAAAATGTTCCTTTGATCATTTACATATATTTTTTTGTTTATTTTTTTTTCTATTCCACTGGCTTTTACTTGATCGGAATATTTCCGATAAAAAAATTCCGATACTCGGAATGCAGTACATCAAATTTCCGATAGAATTCCTGTTCGAAGTGGATCGAAATGTAGAACAAGGCGGAATCGAACACCAACAATTGGAAACAAATCCGATTCCGATTCGAATCCAATTGCAGAACAGGGCTGTATACCTCCGATTTGTGTTAACCGGACATCGAACAAACGGCCCGAAAGGTTCGTTTCCCGACACTTTTTGTTAGTAGTTTTACACGTTACTTTCCTATTCTTGATTTTCTGTGCGAACGACTTGATAATTGGGGCTACCGCTTCATAAGGCTTAATAATTTTTTTAGCTGACGGTGTTGTCCATTTTCTTCCATGTATGCTCTAAATTTCTTTTTATATGGAAGCAGCGTCAGCAAAAAAAGTGCATGCCTACTACGGTATCCGATGGATGCTATCCGCGCGGATATAATCCGATTCGCACTGTCTTGTGTACATTATTAAAAATCAACGCCAGTTTCTAGCGCCTTGAAACTTGCACTTTATCCTACCCCAATTGAATGGGCTTTTGTACACTTTAAACTTCTTAATAAAAAGTTTTAAAATTTTTGGCGAATTTTGGTAAATTTTTGTCAAGGTTCGAAATGTGGATTTATATCGCTAACGATATGGCGCTAGTTATATAAAGCGCTAGACTTTTATAAAAAAAAAAATATTACACATCGAATAAACAAAAGAAATATAGCCAAAACTGGTCAAAATAAAAAGTTTCTATTATTTCTTCCACCACTGTATAAAAGGTTACAAAGATGCCAAACAATCTCGTAATTTTAAAGGTATCTCGTTTCGAACTGATGACGATATGCACAAACTTCTTTAAGTAAGATGGGAATTAACTTCCGGTATCATTGCAATTTGATACTTTTTGGTATGGCGGCATTATTTTGAAATGAACATTTTTCTATTCGTCGCAGAGAGAACAAGTAAGAAAGTCTTAGTTCGGGCAGAGCCGAACATTAAATACCCGGCGCAAGTATTAAATATATGATTTTCACCTTTCCGAAACCTACCGCTAGATGGTAAGCGGGGGTGTATCAATTTTGAGTAAATTAGCGTCCTTAAATTTCGAAATATTGCAGTTTCAAGCATTTTTGAAATTTACCGTTATATGAAAAGCGGCCGTAATTTTAGTCCGATTTCAATAATTTTTAAAGTTTTGCTTTTATGTGGCAAGCACAATAACCATACCGAGTTTGGTACAAATTGCTAGAACGGTTAGCGAGATACATATATGTGCTCACAAGTGGGCGGTGCCACGCCCATTTTCCAAAATTTTATCATAAACATATTTCTTGGTAAATAATTGTTGCAACCACCAATTTTGAATAAATTAGCTTTAATATTTACTGATTTATCGAAGATTTTGTATTTCTCGAAATTACCGTTATATGGGATGTGGGCGTGGTTATTGTCCGATTTTAAAAATTTTCAGCCATTTGGTATGCTGTACCAGGACCAAGAACTGTGCCAAGTCTGGAAGAAATCGGTGGAGAGGTTGCCAAGATATACACATGTAACCATAAGTGGGCGTGGCTGCGCCCATTTTTCAAAAATTTATAATATTCTTATTTTTCGTCTGAAAATTATTGTAAATATCAATTTTGAGTGAATAATCTTCAGTAGTTACTAAAATATCGCAGTTTTCGTATTTCTGAAAATTACCGTTATATGGGAGGTAGGCGTGGTTATTGTCCGATTTCGCCCATTTTCAATACCATCCGTCCTACGCCCAAAAGAAGTTCACGTACCAAGTTTCGTTAAGATATCTCAATTTTTACTCGAGTTATCGTGCGCACAGACGGACGGACGGACAGACAGTCACCGCTTAATCGATTTCTCTTTTCATTCTGATCATTTATGTATACATTTGTCTATATCTATCTCGATTCGTTTTGCCTGTTACAAACAACCGTTATGTGAACAATGTTATAATACCCTTGTGCACAAGTGCGCTCGGGTATAAAAATTAAAGCTTATTTGACGTGACTAAATATTCCCAATTTTCTAGATATTTAGTATGTATATTAATGAACTTCTTTTCGATATAAACTAGAAATTCTATCAATATTTTTAATACTTATTAATGAAATAGTCATATAAACAAGCTATATAACGAAAATTTGGCGTTTTTAGTAATCAATGCTATGGAAGCTCGGGAAAAATGTATAATTTCCCAGTAGCGAAAATGGTCACCGGTGACATTGTCACTAATGAGGATTTAGTGACATCGTCGCACTTGCTGTGAATCCTAAACGACATATAGCTGACACTGTTGACAATGTCATGCAGGTGTACTCCTATCAAAGACTTATAACAGACAATGTCTTGCAGCGGTCACTTATAAAAAGTTCATTGCAGGATATTGTCGCTTGAATGTCATCAATGATCACTGCATGGCAAAGTCATACAGATGACATCAACGACGAAATTACCATTTATATGAAAAAGTCATGACCGACTTCCATACAAACGGAGCCCAAAGTCATTTAAGACGTAACTTTTCCGTACAAGACTCTTAAGTGACTAATGCATGACATTCGCTACGGGGTTGCGGTGTCTGTCACACTACCACATCAGTCGCAGATGGTTAAATAGCCTAATTAGTTAAATTTTAGTACTTATACAAATCATACTTTTTATTGAAAATTGTACTTCAGGAATGGGAAGATTTCCCTCGATATTTTTATATGTTGTGGTATAAAAAATAGTAGAATGATTATTAAAGCACTAAAGCATGAAGAAATAAAGAAGAGAGTATCCTGCTTTGGCAAAAAATAAAGCAAAATTAACAATGCTAAACAGACTACACTTTACACTGCGGCTTCTGTCACGATTTGAAGAATTGTCCGCCTTTTAGAATCATATGAAAATCCATTTTGTTTGAAAATTTCCGAGTCATAAAATGGTTTTAAATTAAATATATCTAATTGTTTTGCCCGCTCGGTAAGATCACGTTCCATTATTTCAACGTGAGTTGCGCTAGGTCCCTCTTTGCAGCGTATGTAGGCAAGCTGATCAAGCGTTAACTGGCGAAGAATGAAAAACAGTAGTTCAGAATGATCCTTCTGAAATGATAGATATTTCTGGAATGCCGCTCGCATTTTCTTCATTACACTGAACTTCTGTGCTTCGATAAAGCTTTCCAACATCATTCGTATAGCCATGCTTACATCGGATTCGGTAACATTCTCTCGTAAGTGCATACGTGCATGGGCCTCGGACATTCGAATCACGCTTTCAATGTGTCGTACAGTTATTGGCAGTGAACCAGTTGCAAATGACTCTTGTCTAAGTTGTGCGTACATCTTGGCTATTTTATCTTCATCAATGTTCTAGGAAGTGTAAAGAATTTATATGTAAGTAATAAATCAAATTGGTCATAAATAACTACCTACTGTAAGTTTAGGGCGAACGTTTTCTTTGGCGTAAATGATGTATTGTCGTAAAAGATCTTGTGGTATTTCAGACACTCCTGCCGTCTGGGTATCCTCTACAAATTCTTCGCAGGACGGGTGGTGTTTAATGTGTGAATTTACCACGAATTTTGCCAAATGCTGATCCTGCATGGGATCAAACTCATCCTTTACAACACATAGAATATCGAAACGTGACAAAATGGGTTCCGAAAGGTTTACATTTTCTGAGAAAGTCATCGATGGGTCATATCTGCCGCCGATCGGATTAGAAGCTGCAATAACAGTACATCGTGCTTGT